ACACAAGGGGCTGGGACCTGCAAGGACACAGGTTCAATCCTTGGTACTGCATGCAGTGTGGGCCCAGCACCAAGCCAGCCACCAGCCGAAACCAGGTGTGCACTAGGCTACGTGGTGCACGCCTGTAATCCCAGCACTGGGGAGGCTGAGACAAGAGGATCACTACAAGTTGGAGCTGTGTAGTGAGACCCTGTATCAAATAAATAAATACATAAGTAAATAGTTTTTTTTTAAAGAATTAAAGATACACACATTATTCTCTGTTTTTGAGGAAGAAACAAAAAGCTTGTTGATAATATTAAATATGATGCCATTCTCTTTCCATTCACTCGTATAGTTGGTGCCATAAAAATATGCATTGAGGGCCAGAGAGATAGCTCAGCAGCATAAGCACCTGTCTGGCAAGCACAGGGTCCCAAGTTTGATCCCTGGTAGCACAAAAAAAAAAAAAGAGAAGAAAAGAAAAATAGGCATTGATGAGGTGGGATCTTGTTCTCTTATATACAGTAATTTAATACTTATGATTTGACATATTAAAGTGTTTATAGTTGATTTGTGTAATGGGAAACTTTTTTTTTTTTTTTGAGACAGGGGCTTGCTGTGTAGTTCGTGATCACTTTTGTAACCCCCAGGCTAGTCTCAAACTCATAGTGTCCTCCTCTCTTAACCTTCCAAGAGTGCTGGGATTACAGACATGCACCACCATGCCCAATTCTGGGGCCGCACAGCATGTGGGACGAGGGATCAAACTTGGAACCTTGCACTTGCCAAGCAAGCACTTATGCCACTCAGTTATCTCCCCAGTCCCAAGAAACACATTCCTAAGAGGATAATTAAAATAACTTTATTATTAAATTATTAATGCTTTAATGATTGTTGAACTCAGAGATTCAACTCGGGATTCAGCCCAGGGCATTGAGCATGCTAGGCAAGTGCTCTACCACTGAGCTACATCTCCAGCCCCTTTTAATTTTCTGTTTTGCCATACTTAGGATTAAGTTGCTTAGGCTGAGCTCCAATTTGCAATCTTCCTGCCTCAGCCTTTTAGAATGCTGGGATTATAGGCATGCATCACCATGCCGTTTAAAAGTTATTTCTTAGCTCTCATTACCTAAGTAAGTGTAAACTTGAAGGTAGGATAGTAATGTATTAGATTAAGTAAAACTGGAGATAAGCAGACAAATTAGGATATGGCAGAAGTCAAGATAGCAATTCTCATGCTAATAGTCTCTGGAATCCTTTTCATTGTTAAAATTAATGACTCTCAACAGCTTGTACTTATGTGAGTTGATGCTGTGTTAGAGATTAAAACTGAAAAAGATTGCACAAGATTATTGATTTAAAAAAATGTTTGGGAACAAGGGAGGAGAGAAGGAATTCAGAGTGAATGGGGAAAAATGGTAGCAAAAGATTTTGTAAATGGGAAAGGGAAGAAGCGTTGAAGGGAGGGGAGGGGAATGGGAAAAAGAAGGCAAATTGTGTACAGTGTAAATTCCCTGTGATGAATGTGATCTTTATGTATAACAAGTATGAACCAATAAAAATAAATTTAAAAAACAAACTTTTTTGTTTTTGATATAAGATCTCTATTTGTTGCCAAGCTGCCCTCAGATTTCTGCCTGAGTGAACCTCTGAATGCTGTGACTGTAGGCATATACCACTCTGCTTGGCTCAATTTTTAAAATTCTTATTAATATAAATAA